GTGAGGCAACCCTGCTTTGCCTCAAAGAGGAAGCTCACACTACAATGGCCCCACTATTTGCCTCATTGTGCTGCTTTGTTTTGCTCTTTAGAAGTGCAGCAGGGGAGGCTTGCAATGCTTTACAAAGCAATTTCAGAGGGGCGCTTCACTCAAAGCATCACCACAGCAAAGCACCCCTTTGAAGCTTTGCACATCCATAAGGATTCCTCTCATGTCTTTAATACCTCCCTCCTTTTGTCATATTAAATACTACAATTCAATCGTATCTTTTGGAAGGGTAATTGGGGCTGCCTGCAAAGCTTTGGGAGGCCTTATGCAGGTCTTATGTGGCAGAGAGGAATGATATACTTCTGTAGCCATTGCAAACTCCCAAGAGCACCAAGAAGGAAGGAAGGAAGGAAGGAAGGAAGGAAGGAAGGAAGGAAGGAAGGAAGGAAGGAAGGAAGGAAGGTTCATATGGTATGAGACACTTCCTTTTTTAAACATGGTTTAATGATGAACCCAATAACTTGATACACAAAATTCATTGATGGGAGTTTTAGCCTTTTGGGCAGCAATGAACCCAGCCAAAGAAAGACAGAAAGAAATAGCAGCAGCAAACAAACAAATTAAAACAAACACACCCACCCACTCCCCAGATAATTCACAGAATCATTCACTTCCTAGACAGCCTCATTCCCTATTTCAAGTTGTAAAACTTCCCTGAACAGACCTTTTGGCTCAGACTGATGAAAAATAGAAGTTGAATGGTAAAGGAAGAAGAACAAACAGACAACTATTGTCAGATCATTGGGCAGTGTGTATGCTGACCACCTTCACTGCACGTTTTGCATGAAAAGATTGTGTGGTGTGACTGAGAGGATGCATGTAATAGGAAGAAGGATGACACTGGTAATTCCAACAAAAGAAGAAGGAACCCAGATGCAAATAAATATAATCTCCTTGAGGTAGTAGCAAGTAAATGGAACATATAAAGCTGGTAATTAAGTTAGTCACCAGCAGCAAATTACAGCTCTTAAACCTGCAGTGACTTTAAAGACTCTTCCATCCACCTTTCTTTCCCCCTCCCTTAAGCACCTGCCTGTTTATGAAAGGTCCGTGACAAAACAACCCATTAAAGGAATTATGAAACGGAGCTGCCTGTAATGCTTTCTGTCTCAGAATTTTCCATTCCTTTCTGCCTTGCACAGCTATCTTAGCTAATTGGGCTTTCAAGGTACCAGGTGCCACTGCTAATAATACAGCTCCTTTCTTAGCAGATCTCCTTGAGGGCTTCCCCCCTCCCCTTTGTAAACCAGAATACAGTCACATGATTGATCCTGGGCAAGTACATTGAGCATATAATGACAATAGTGGACACCTGACCAAAGTATGACAACTGCATGCATAATTTACAAAATGATCCAATAGGTGGAGAGGTAGGCTAGGGTGGGGAAATGGATATTTAGGCAATCTGTTTCTTCTAGAGTCCTACTGCCTCATTGGAGAAAGGGTGGCTTGTCTACCTTGCTGAAGGGAAATGATTATGCCCAGCTCATGAATGGCATAATATCAGAGATATTTTCTTGGCATGTCACGTGAATGTAGAGGCTTTAGGTCTTTCAGATCTGTGGTCTAGTGATATAGAAAAATCAAAACATGAACCCTTCTGAACTGCACTAGGGATTATGAAGTCCAGAATTCTCTGCCACACTGTCACAACTTCTGACTTCAGAGGTAGTAAACAACCATCAAAATTAATAATCAGTGATTATCTGATCCTCCCTGAATGTGTCCATTAGTTGCCATGTAAAACTGTTTAAACTGGTGGCCATGAGCACCATAATGGTAAAGAATCCCATGATTTAACTATGGCCTTGTCCTCACCTGTACCTAACCACATCATAAACATGCCCTGACAGCTTCTTTTTTCCTTCCATATTCCCATAACATTGACTTTGTCTCATCCTCAGCCATGAGTAAGGCAGGCTTAAGTTGTCTGTAGCTGTACCAGTGTTAAAGTAGAATGTTCCCCTTTATTTCAATACAGTCCAAGGGCAGCCTCAGGCTGTGTAAAATCTGTCAGAATTTGTCATCTTCTACTTTGGAGGGAAGGCAGGCACCTGGCAGTGAGTCAGAATAGAAGCAGTTGAGGCAAAATAAGAATCAGCAAAGGGGACCAAAAATTTCATGCAAACATATTTTTCTGCCCATTCAAGAATGCCCCCCTCCACTAAGTCCTGTTGGACTGCTTCGTTGTGGCAGGGTGGTGTTCCTGGGAGAGATGAGTGAAGAACGCTGGGAGTGTATGCCACGAGTATATATTCCCAACATGGTCACCCAAGATGGAAAGTCATCCCAGCTGTCCAGCTAAAGCAAGCAGGCATCTAAATTGGCAGCAGAGATATAGGAAGATCCTGGAGGCACATGATCGCTTTAGTGACAATAGCAAAGGCATCAGTTCATACTGTGTGGGAGAAGGCCATGGTAAACCACTCCTGTATTTTACCAACAAAATCACATGGATAGACCTTCCAAGACCTATGAAGTCCTTGGAAACTGTAATCAGATGCCATGATGTGTGAATAGCTATAACGATCAGAATAATGCAGGCAATGGTATCCCTGTGACATTCTATGGGAGCAAAAGTTGGACTTTGAAGAAACAGGATAGAAAAAGTATTGCCACTTTTGAAAATTGGTGGTGGGTAAAACTCTTGAGAATACTACGGACAGTCAAGAAAACAAATGAAAGGATTGTAGAATAGATCAACCCAGACTACTCATTTGAGGCACAAGTGATGAGGCTCAAATTGTTTTACTTTGGACACATTATGAGAAGATCTAGCTTTCTAGAAAAGATTCTAATGCTGGGAAAGCTGGAAGAAAGGTGAAGGACAGGATGAACAGCAATAAGATAGTCAGTTACCATGACAATGAGTGCACCATTGGAAGATCTGAAAGATCAGGTTAGGGTCAGATCATCATGGAAACTATGTGGTTGCTAAGAGTCAACACCAGCTTGATAGCACATAATCAATCAAAAATTCAAGGATGAGAATATAGCACTATAACTCAGTAGTGGTGTAAGGCACCAAATATTATGTGGCAAATTATTTCCTTTTATTGGTTTTGAGTTTTTCAGCAGTGATTCTGAGTTCTGACTTTGTAACAGGAAGAAAAAGTTCAGTCCTCATTTTCCATATCCTACATGGCAACTTCTAGATGTGTGGAGGACAATTTCTAGCACCTAGAGTCCCCTAATCAGTGTAGCCATTGCTGAGAATTCTGTTTGGAGTCAATGCAGCCAAAAGTTGGGAACCTCTGCTCTACAACAAAAAGCCACAGACACTATAATCGTTTCTTATAGGGGAGCTGCTCTAATCATTTTGATTTTTTTTCCATCTTTTTCAGTGCCAGTAAGGTATCAAAACTAACCAAACCTTTGGTAAGGTACCATTGGTAAAATAAAAATTCAGATAGCATTTTCCACAAGCTTACTGCAGGATTTCCAGTTTGTATTATCCTACTTACAGATCTCTTTGTCTGCTGGGGGAATATTACTGCTGCCACTTTCATAAATTTTCAGCTATCCTCCTGGGTCCCTTAGGTTGTCTCCTAGGTACATATTATATGTTCACCATTTATTCATGACATTTCTACAGTACCTCACCTTGCTTTTTCTGCCAGGAGCTCAAAATGGTGTACAAACTGCACACTTTTCCATTTTTATTCTCTGGGGAAACCCTGAGACCAACCCAAGATTATTCAGTAAGCTTGAGGGTATTTGAATCTCAGGAGGCTTTGTTGAATGCTCAAACCACTATACCACTCCAGCACAAAACAGCTGAGGCCCAACCCTTTCTATATCTACATGGAAGCAAGTCCCACTTGTTCAATGGGCATAGTCAATGCGTTTAGGTTTCCAGCCTTAGGCTGTGTTTGCCTTTCTTATTAATTTGGTTTCTTGTAGCAATAAAGTCTCATACAAACCTGGGCAATGGGTCAAATTATGTTTAAGATAGTTAATCACAGATTCGCCTATGATTTGCTTTAAGTTTATTTACTTACTTTAAAATGCTTATAACCTGCCCCAATTCCAAAGACTCTAGGTGGTATACAGCAGATGTTACCACAATCTCCAATGTCATTTGAATCTGAGGGGAGCAGTATCTTTCATTAATCATCTCTTCTGATCTGCAAACACACAGAGAGGAAGCTAGAATAGAACTGCTGTAGCCACAGCATCTCTTCTGTTCCCATATTTGTCCTCACTAACACAAGCATGGGTGTGAAATGAGGACATTAAGCTTCCCACCATGCTGTCCAACATTAGTGTGATCCTACTTGGGCAATTGTAGATTTTTTTTTACAGTTATTTTTATGACACTGTAAAACAACAAAAAGACTGGTCAGCCAGTCCCTAGCATACTGGCCAATATGGCAGCTACCTGGCAAATAGAAGCTGGCCTTGTTTCATGGTGCTAGATTGGTGAATAAATACTCCGTCCCTGGTTAGTACCAAATATGGCTGAGCATTTCATGTCTTCTTAGCATTCCTTAACAGCTAAAGGTTAAGAATGAAATCTACATTCCTCTGTACCGTTATCTGGAAGTAAGCCTCATTAAACACAATAGAGAGTTATTTTTTTAATAAATGTGCATAGGGCTCCACTATAAAATATTTGTTTACGATAGTTATAATTGGGTGCTAAGTACATTAACTGATTGATCTGAGGGTTTTAAATATTTTTTAGAGAGTGTTTATACTTAGGATATTCTGGTTTATCTTTTTTTTTTTTTAAATAAGTGACTGACATTTATTTGGTGAATTGTGTGCTTTTTGAAAGGTTGCTGCACCATGGAGTAAATAAAGGCACTATTATAAGAAGTGGCTTGGATGTAGTTAGGAAGCAGCAAATTTTTGACTCTTGTCCAAAATGTGCCACCCCTTCATCTGCCTGATTTGACCCTGGAGATAATTAGACTTAATCGTTTTATTTATACAGTAGCCAACAACTAGTACAGGCTGGTGGTGTGGTTGGTTCAATCCAGCTTTCCTCAAGGTGGTGAACTCCTGATGGGTAGGATCTCAGCATACAGTCTGGGAATTCTGGGTATAATGAGACTCTGACAAATCATGATCCCTGGACTGGAAAGGAATTTTTGAATTCCATTAAAAGAAGAGATGGAAAAAGAAAAGAATCAAAAAGACTTTAACTTAACCTCTGAATGTCTACCTTCCCAGTCTCTACAATTGCTTTTTATTGGTAAACTGTATGTTGCTCTTTTGGGGGACTGCATCACTTTCTTCCTAAATGGTAAATACAGGCATATCCCTGAAATCCATTCTAGATGAACCAGAGCACTTTTCAACAGTTGGAGATGCTTCATGACTGATAACTGATAAAGGGTGGTCAACTGATGTCCCCAAAGGCTACCTTTGGCTCAAAATGCAATTTAATCTAACCCTGAGAACCATTCCAAAAGTCTGCTTTAAAATAAAAAGTTTGCCCAGAGCTTCACTCTGAAGAAAGTGATATTGTTTTCAAAGGTAACTTGGGCAAGAAGGAGAAATAGATACTATTCTTTATCTTCATTTTTTTCTGGGTTTATATGTAATGTTCTAGCTATGGCTGAGTGGATTTGTTCCATAAATATCGAATGATTTCTACTTTATTAAAGAGCCTGACTCCCCATGGAGGAGTGAGAATGTGTGTTAAAATAAATTTCTGCTTCCAGACCCCTGCCAGGAAAACATAGCCCCACTTCAACCCTCCAGCCAAATTCATAAGGTAGCTGTGGAGGGGCGTGGAATGGGTTCTACTCAAAGCCTGCTCAGATCTTTGCCTGCCCCAGAAAAAGAACCCTCCCTTTAATTGCAAAATCCATCTTTCTCTCAGGGAAAGAGACTTACAGTTAACTCTGTTTAATCCTGGACAGTAGCGGTAGGAGCCTGGACGGCACAGTCAAGAGACAGAATAAGTTTCAAAAAGATCAAGTGTATTCATAATTTTAAAAAGCAAGACAAAACACATATATAATTAAGCATGGACTTCTGTGATTGATTAGTTACTGTTACAAAAACTCTAGAAGGGTTGAGATAGATAGATAGAGAGGCTGTGTTCCCATGACACACTAACTGTGAAACTCTGTGGTACTATCATGACAGCCTACATTCTGCCATGGCTTCCGGCTAGCTGTTCAGGTATCCATGCAGAAACACAAACAAATGCTTTGCATTAGCTAGCTGACAAGATTAGCTGAGACTGGGGATAATTTAGTTTCCCATAGGAAAATGGTCCCACAGGAGGAGGAAAGGCTACTAGGTTGGCATCAGAGGTAGCATCTGAACTTTACCAGAAAATTCTGTGAAGGAGAACTGGGAGGAGAACTTGATGGAATTGAGTCATGGCTGACAACTAAGATGGATCTGAACAACAGTGTCTGTTAAAGATTGGCTGTTGGTTTAGGAAAGCACACAGAGGGTTGGTAATACTGAATGGGATAGGCCTTACAATGCTGAAGCATTGCTTTGTTCCTGGGATGCTGGTGGTGGTAAAAGGTGCCCTCTCGCACACACACACACACACACACACACACACACACACACACACGAGAGCTGCATTCAGTACCAAGCCTATGAGATGCACCCCCGTCCCATACATGTGAATTGCTTAAAGTGCCCTTGTAAGAAAACATTCACAGGAAGCGTAACTGACCTTGAGCGGTGACAGGAGGAAGACTCAGTCAGGAACCTGTGGCCTGGTAAACCAAATTGATTATATTCACTGATCATATCTCAGAGATAGTATAGCTGCCATGCTGACCTGTAAGGAAGGGATAATATAATAATAATAATGTCACCCAGATGAGCTTATCAAAAACATTCCAGTGTCATGCTGTACTTTACACTGTGTCTGCCTTTTCCTTTGTCTTGCCTTTGCAATGTAGTAGGCCAAGGGTACATAAGCAACGGTTCTGCCTTTGCTTAGGGCTGTCCAACAAGCCACCAATGCTTTGCTGGGTGCTCAGTGTACACTGTTGTATTGTTTGCATGCTAATAAAATTATGTTGTATCTTCAAAGTGATTTGGTTGCTTTAGGTGAACCAGGTTTTGGCACAACATGCTGGTCCAAGGGGAGTTTGAAGACTTCTTAAGTGGAAAAGGGCAAAGTCCAGAGAATTGTATCAATGAAAAAAAGGAGGCATCATGGGATCTGGTCTATCCTTTGCAGACAATCTTTTAATTGGTTGATTATGTGCCATCAAGCTGTTTTCGATTCCTGGTGACCACATAGATAGATTTTCTCCATGACGAAGATAATCTTTAGTAGGGGTCAAAGATAGAGAAAAGCCAACTGCTAGGCTGACTGATAGAGGGAAATTGCCGATTGGTATCTTTAAGCCCTTTCTAAAATCTAGATAGCAGTGACTGAAATATTTAGAAGAATAGAAGGACAGATATACACTAAGCTGAAAGTATATCTTGCAAACAACTATATACTTACAGAAGTTTTAGGCTGCAGAATTCCCTAGAAGGGGGAAAAACAAGGCATTTTAGATAGCAAGGTGAGACTGCATTCCCTTTTCTGGGTTTTATCAGCAGAAGTACCAATAGAAGACAGGAGATCCCAGGCTTAGCCTGAAGAACTGTAAATCATCTTGCTAAGGAATGTGCTTGAAAATGAAACTGCATGTTTAAAAAAGGGAAAAACTTTCTGAAGGGGGTGTTTTGCACTGACTTTTCTATCAAATCTTGAGAATTCACAGAAAACGCCCTGGTCATAGATACATTATGACTTTCATGTGCAGATCTACAACAGCTACCATCTTGAAAACTGGATTTTGTAAGCTAGCTTTATTTTAGATTATTTTCAAGACGGGTACCTGTCCAGATAATATTGTAAGCTACCAGCTGCAATTAAAGAGCTGTGAACAACTGGGCATTCTATGATTATGTTTGTTCAGTGAGTTGTACGTCTAGCATGTCACACTAACACAAGCAGAAAGCCAGGCTGTTTAGAAATGTCCCAGTCCCTGTCTCAGATGAGGGTAAAAATTCCCTTACTTTCCATGGAATTTTCTACAAAATTCCTCCTGAAAAGTTATTTTTGCTTTCTGATCTAATCTAATCTCCATGTCAGCTATATTTACAAACCTGAGTGAAAGTTGGCAAAACAAATTAATTATGCATGTTTTTCCTCCTCACAATTTCCTTCCTGGAAGATCTTTTGCATTGCTTCTTGTGGTGGGAACCCACTTTTCCCCAAACAATGGAATTTGTTATTGTTCTTCTAAGAAAGGTATTAATTTCAGCTTTTCTTGTCTCTATATTTTCTTCTTTCTTATTCTTCTAGTGGTCAGTTCTTAATAGAGCTAAGTCTGATTTTTCCCATGATCGTACTCAGTGATGTCGTTGAATTATAATGTGGATTGTTTGACTTTAGCTTAACATGCGCAATCCTAGCCATTGTGGTTAGTCAATCATGGTTTAAGCTTAGTATGTGAAAGTCCAGGTAGTTGTGATTTATTCATGGTTCAGCAAGCCATGACTTAGCAAAATGTGTGAACCTAGGCTTACTCTCATCTGCTGCTCCTTGATGACCCTAACCCAACCCAACCCAACCCAAACCAGAACAGTGAATCAGTAAGGGAAAAATGACACTACAGTGTCTTCTTTTTTCCACTACCCAATTGATCAGACACCATGACCAACATAAAATTAGAAAGTGGGTTACACACAGACTTCTACTGAATTGTAAAAAAGGAGGGAAGATACTTCAGATTATGGGTACCACTAAGGTGTTGAAATGTAGACATTTCCCAAGGCTTGTTGAAAATTGTATGCATTACCTAGAGACCACTGTCAAGATACATTCTCCATATTCTGAGGAGAGTTATGGCGATTAACCATTTCCTTTTAATGGACTGTTAGTGCACATTCTCTATGAGAAGATATAAAAAGTCTGGTTGTTATGTACAAGAGTTACTTAAAACTGGCATTATCTTTACACATAAACACATGCACAGTAATAGATAATTCAAGTGTTGAAATTATGATAGTTATTCAGCCAACAAAAAGCTGGTGTGTGTACGTGTGAGGGGGAGCCATTGTGGTTACTGGCACACTACTTGGCACTGTAAGGCAGCAGAGGGTGAAGAGCATTTGTAGTATGCCACCAGTGGTATTGATTGGCAGTGCAATGCCATATCAGTTCCCCGTGGGGATGTGAAGGGTGCTAATATTCCCACATGTTTGGGGGAAATGCCAGGTCTTGCAGAAAAAGAACCAAAAATAAAGGGGCCAACCACTACAAAATAATGCAGTGCAGAGTAAATAAACTTAGTGGCCAGAGTGAAAGGGTTAGGGTTACGGTTAGGCTTCTGTTGATAGTTCTAGACGACTTTGCAAGGCTGAACCAGATTTACTAATGTACTGATTCACCACCGCCACATCTTAGTTTTCTGCAACCACTTCAGATTTTCTAAGATGTGGCCAGATAGATGTTGGAGCTGCTGTGAAGGACTGGTCTGACAAACAAAATGAAAACAACAATCTCAAATTTCAGCTTGGTTGACTTTGCCCCTGTGAATAGGTTAATGCCATTTTTGGCTTGCAGAAAAGCAGTGTCTCGGATCATCTGATGATTAGACTAGCTATGATTATGAGAGCTTGCCAGAATACATTTGCTTAATTTAAAAAGTGACATCATGATTTCATCCATTTAGATAAAAGACAGCCAACAGACATTTGAGGGAGGAAAACGTGCAGAAAATAATTTCATATAGCTTTTCCCCTGCTTCTCTTAAATCTGCAAGCAACATTTCTTATGCTCTTGGCCTATGTTTTCCAGATAGCCCAGCTAGTTTAACGTTCTCTGTGTGTGTGTGCATACATACACTTGGCCTCTCATATTCTTTTTTTTAACATTTTTAAAATTGACCAATGTCTGATCTTTGCAAGGATGTTGGCAAATGAACGCATGGACAAGATTAAGCAGACACAACACCCTTTGGCTTTCTTATAGGTTATATCACTGAAAGAACGCCAGTCCACAGAGGCATTCAGATGATGAAAACAGGGAAGGCAGCAGACATGACCACTCAGGTCCTGCGTGCACAGGGCTCCTGGGCTTCCCTTGCTATTCTCTTTCCCTTATACCTCCCTTCTTTCAAACCCCCCCCCCCCCAAGCCTGGTTGTATAGGGCTCTAGTAGGAGCTGCAGCAGCAGAATAGCAGGAAAGAGGAAGGGAGATAACACTACTGCTGCTATGCTATGCCACTTCCACTGCTGCTCTCAAGTCAGCCATCACCTCAGGATGCAGCAGTGTCCCGCCCACCCACCTCCCCAACATCCTTCTCTGTTTCCTCTCAGTCAGGGAAGGGGCAGCAAGCAGAAAGCCTCAGGCACACAGTGGTGGTGGTGGGGAAGACCCTCTTCCCTTTCTCCTTCCTACCTCAACTGGCACAGCAGGAAGTATGGGGGGAAGGGCTTGGTGCCTGAGCTCCGTCCCCATGAGAGGTTTGCCTTGGGGTCAGAAAGCTCTCCTTGCACTTTTTCATTCTGTTTCCTCTTCAAGGACGCAGCATATCATTCAGATGCTGATGCTACAGATCATACCACTAAACAGAGAACAAGAAAAAAGTAGAAGTACACAAACACAAATTGGTATGGTTAGTTTCTCAAAAGTCCAGCTTCTGCTACTTTGGTAGAACTATTTCCTAGTCTGCCATATTTTTCCTACAGATTTTTTTTTAAGGAAACAAAATATTTTTCAGACTAGTTGGAGGCTGTTGGAAAATATATGATTTTCAACCATGTACAAGGCAGCTGAAGGGTCTCTTCTAGATCTGTAGATGTTTCCAAAAGCCTGGATGCTTACAGAAGTGCCCGGCTTTTCATGGAAGGACTTCTTCACTTCTCCATGCATCCTGGAATGCCCATGTGACAATTGTTGCTTTTAAGGGAAGTAAAAAAACTAAACACAAAATAATAAATGGATTCAGCTTACGGGTAGCATTCATCTCATCATGAATTCTTGGGATGGCAAAATTCCCAGATCTCCTCAGAGATTCATTTCAGGAATTCATTTCCATCCCTCTTTATAATACTCTCTTAAACATGTATAAAGGAGAGACACAATTTAAATTAATTACATTTAGCTTTCACACATTTCAGTGGAAGCTAAATATATATTTAAAACACTCTCACTGAACCCAATGAGATTTAGAAGTACTGTATGTAGATATTAGGTATTTTTACCCACCTGCATGTTTGGATTGTATGAGGGAGGGAGGCTTTGCCGTGATGAATCTTTGAATGAAACACCTCCTTCAAGCTGCTTCATTCATTTTTCAGGGGAAAGC